GGGAGTACATTTAAGTAAATTGTAATGGGTCGTTTCAAAAGTTTATTACAATTGTGGAAATAATTTTATAACGTTTGCCCTATGGTACAAACATATTTTATTGTGGAGAAACTTATTGATCTGTATTTGGAAATAATGAGGTATTCTCTCATATCAGGACCTCAATTAGAAATTAGAAAAATAGAAAAATATATATGTACATATATATGTTTTTCAACCCAGGCCTCCTTTAGGCTAACTGTTGGGTTTGTTGGGGGATGGGCTGTATGAGCCAGGCTCTTAAGGCAGAGACTAGCTTGTGTGGGGAAGTTTAGGCTGCCATAGGCCAAGTAGTGTCATTGAGGTTGAATCTAGATGTGGCCTGAGACTATCAGATCCCATAGATCATAAAGAAAAGCCAGTCTTGTGGGGTGGGAGTGGCCCCAGGAGACTGTTGGACCTGGTGGAGGGGTTCAGAAATAAAGATTTTTTATTGGGTCTGTTTTAAGTTTTTACTACACTGCTGACATATTTCTGAATTTTCTTATATGATGTAATCTGGTAAGCAATTGTATTAAGTCATGTTGCTGGAAAGGCAATTTCTTTTATAATCTAGAATGTTGTTAAATTAAGTGTGCCTTCAGAGAAAAGAGAAAAAGGAATGAATCGGGGCTATTGGGGCATACTATATGGTCCTGCTTTGTAACGTTTCCTTGTAAGTATTGTAATTTAAGAAATGAGAACTTCCAAATTTTGTCTACCTTTAAAAGGAAGTTTTAGCTGGGATTATCTGGCTTTCACTTATGAAGTTTAAAATTGTTAACTGAGCTATTTGGAGTTATTGTTTAAGTTAAGCACTGGTAAAAGTATTTTGTGTGTGAAAAGAAACTTGGTAATTATGCAAAAAAAGGGGGAGAGATTTTGTGGAATCTGGTAATTCTCATACAGACACCTTTTGACTCGAGAATTTAGGTAACTCGGAATTTTATGGTAATTAGGAAATCATAAGCTATTTTTGAGAAAGGGAGATGCTTTTATAAAAAAAGTTTTGATAAAATCTTTGATATTTATTTTAGAGGGCCTACCAAATTTCTATTTGCAAGAAAATTATGTCCAAATCTACTCTGAACTGAGAGTTTTATTCCTGGGTTTGTTGTGTCCTTGGACTATACTTAACTGGATGCTTTTAGAGAAACAGTCTCAGTGGGAATAGTGTCAGAGATCTAAGGCTAATGATTAATACTAAAGCATATAAGCTGTAAGTAGGAAAGATCTTACTATTTTGATTTGAATTCATCCCATGGCCTATCAAGAGCTAAAATTACTGTGTAAGATTTGAGTTGTGAAAGATTAAGGATGGTTGGAGAGGGATAAATAAGCTTGAGAAGCAAAGAGGGCAGGTAATGACAAACCAGAGATAGGGAAAGATCAGATGTTAGTTTTAATCCCTCTGAGTCTAAAAGCTCCACCTCTACCTGAGAGAAAAACGACAGGTTCGGGAATTGGGAGCCAAAACGGACAATAGTGGGAGGTGGCTACTCCCAGATGGCCGAGAAGTGGTCAATTGAGCCAGTATAGGCAGATTTTGCAACACCTACACCAGGGTAGCCATTGGGATGTCCAGAACCTGTGTGATGCAGTCCTGACTTGGTTTGTGTCTCCTGGTATTTATACCTTGGCCCGCCAGACGGTTGATGGGTGCATTATATGTCGAAGGACGAATAAATCCACCCAACGTCAGGCACTGGCTGGAGGATGACCACCCGGAATTAGACCATTTCAGAGTATACAAGTGGACTTCACCAAGTTGCCCCTGGTTGGGAGACTGAAATATCTCCTAGTCATAGTGGACCACTTGACCTCTTGGGTTGAAGCTTTTCCCTTAGCCCAAGCCACTGCTCTAGCGGTGAGCAAAGTCCTATTGGAACAAATAATTCCTAGATATGGGGTAGTAGAGAGGATAGACTTGGATCAGGGAACACACTTTATCTCCAAGGTTCTCCAATCCCTGATGAAGGCCTTGGAAATTACTTGGGAGTTTCATACTCCCTGGCACCCTCCGTCTTCAGGATAGGTGAAAAGGATGAATCAGGAAATAAAAAGACAATTTACCAAATTAACATTAGAGACCCAATTACATTGGACAAAGTGCCTTCCTTTAGCCTTGTTGAGGATAAGGATAAGCCTAGAAGGGACATTGGATTGTCTCCATATGAACTCCTCTGTGGGCACCCATATCCCATAGGGAGAGAAGGAGTCTTGAACATAGGCTGTAAGGACAAGTTTCTTCGAGAATATGTACATTCTTTGGCAAAATCTCTGATCTCGTTACAGAAGAAAGGACTAGTAAACACCTCCTCTGGGGTTCCCAGTGCACAAATTTCAGCCTGGTGACTGGGTGTTGAGTCAGACCTGGAGAAAAGAGAAACTCATTCCCTCTTGGGAGGGACCGTTTCAGATCCTACTGACCCCTAATGCTGCAGTTAGGACCAAGGAACAAGGTTAGATTAATCACACCCGAGTCAAGGGACCAGTGGCCCCCCCAGCTGAATGGATAGTGGTGCAGCTGGTCCCTGAAGGCTTAAAAGTGAAATTGAATGGGTGAAAAGACTGTGCATATTGTATTGTTTTTGCTAATAACTATCCCTGTTTTAGCCTTCTATGTTAGCAGTTCCTTTTGTTTACTCCCTGATGGGTTTAATCCTTTCCAATCTGACCAAGGGACAAATATCCTTGGGAAAACCCACAAATGGGGATGGCATAACGACCCACTTGGTGCACATACTAAAGGTGGCAAACCAACTATGTTCTCCAATGTTTGGAGCAACTCTAACCTTTCCTTTCAGTGGCCTGTGGAGAAATGGGAACAGAGGGAGCAACAGGCATTATGGAAATGTCAGTATCTAGTCTAGCCAGAACCAAGGACCAATGGTATTATCCCTTCGTTCAAAATAGAACCCACATTTTTGAAAAAGAGCAGCCTGCTTTGGAAGGACATTATTGGATCTGTGGATTAGTGGCATCTACACACCTTCCTGTTAATTGGACTGGGGTGTGTTATATAGGCTTAGTGAGACCAAAGGTTTTCTTTCTCCCTGGACAAGAAGGTGACCACCTAAGAGGTAAGCTTTATGATGATCTAAAAACAGAAAAGAGAAGCATAGACACTTCCCTTACCAGTACCAGAGATGCAAATGGATGGGGTGATACTTGGCCCCCAGATAGGATTATTCAAACTTCTGGACCCACTACCTGCAGTACAGGATGGTAGTTGGGGATACAGAACACCAATTTATATGTTAAATAGGCAGTAGTAGAAATTGTCACTAACCAGACTGCAAGGGCTCTTGACTTGTTAGCACATTAGGCAACTCAGACAAGAGAAGCCGTCCTCCAACATAGGCTAGTACTAGATTACCTTCTAGCAGAAGAACATCGGGGTCCCAAGGGAGGCGAAGACTTGGTTGACGAGGTTTACCAAGAATGGTGTGAGGGGTCTTCAAAAGGTTGAAAATAAGAGGAGGGGATTGAATGGAATGCTGAAATAGTGAAGCCCCCTCAGTGTAGCTGACCCCTCCCTCCATTTCTCAGAAGCTGCCTCGCTGAGAAAGCAGAGTGTCACAAGTAGATCAGGTGACAGCCACATCCTGTTCACCTGGATTCTAGCCCTCTTCAGGCCCCTCCCTAGTTGTTGAAGCAAACCATTCTGGTTTTGTCCTTGGTGCTGGGGAGAAGTTTCTGCCCTTAGACTGTGAGCTCCAAAGCCCAGCCAATGGGAAGAAGAGCCAGTGGGTGGGCAGCGGGATTGCGGTTAGGATCTATAAAATCTGCTGAGCTGAACATGCTTCCTCTGTCTTTGGTTGGCGCCATCTTTTGGGTGCTCTGAGGGAGCCCTTTCTCGAGAAAGTCAATAAACGAACTTCTTTTTGCTAATATCTCTGAGTCTCCCATTTATTGGTAAGGATCTTTGTACCCCACACATCTATATCAGAAGTTTTTGTTTGTCACATAGGAGAGTTAGGGGTGGGGATTCCAAGAAATGACTTTGAGGTAAATACAATAAGTATTGATAAAATTTTGAAAAATATATGTCAGAAGATTTGTGGGTATCACCAGTTGTAAAATCTGTAGTTTCAAAGGAATATTTTTGAGAAAATCAACAGCAGTTGGAAAATAATTTAGTTTTAAGTAGATCATTTAAAATTGTTGGGAAATGTAGCTCAAAAACAGACATTATTCAGTTCAATTCAATAAGCATTTGTTAAATGCCTTCTAAAACACTGGGGATACAGATTTAAAAAAAAAAGGACAGTCTGTCCTCAGGGAGTGCTTACAGTCTAAAGGGGAGGGGAGAGCAGCAGTACAGCACCAGGGAGTACCCAGCTTGGGGGTATCATGATATTCCGTGGATTGGAAATCGTGCAGAGCTGCTGGTGGAAAATGGAGTTACCTGCAAAGTTCTGAGCTCCCTATAAAGGAAGGCTTTGAGAGGAGCTTATTGCTTTACCCTCCAGCCCTCTAATCAGAGTGGGGAGGCCACTGAGGGAGTTGAGAAGGTGTTGATTATCAAAAACTGTGTCATTCTGCACATTGGTGAGATATCAGGTGATCAGCTAATGCTGGAGGAAGCATGTTGTTGTATGGAGTGGAAACTGAGCAGAACTGCTGATGGGAAATGGACATTTAAAGTGAATAAAGGAATGACTGCAAGAGGGAATCATTTTAGAAAATACTTAAAATGGGAAATTTTGTTTAATATGAATGTATATAAAAGGATAATAACAATAATAATAATAATAATATGAATGTGTATATATAACCTATATCAGATTGCATGCTGTCTTGGGGTGTGGGGAGGGGAGGGTGGGGGAGAAAATTTAGAACTCAAAATCTTATGGAAGTGAATGTTGAAAACTAAAAATAAATAAAATTTTGAAAACATAAAGAAAAAAATGATAGTTAAAATAATGAGTATTCAAAAACATTTTTATTGCCTCTTTGTTTATCCAATGTTATTTTAGGAAAAAATGGCAACCCAGTGGCAGAGAATTTCCGTATGGAAGAGGCTAATTTACCAGATAAATTAAATGTGGGACAAGTAAAAGTCCGAACTCTTTATCTCTCTGTGGATCCGTATATGGTAAGTAGCAAGATGCTATGATTAAAATAGTAATAATACATTTCCTGGGAATAAGCTACATGTGCATATAGGATATTATTGAAAAGGGTATTAAAAAGGAGCAATTAAGCACCATCCCTGGAGTCAGGAGGACCTGAGTTCAAATCCAGCCTCAGACACTTAATCAAATCACTTAATCCCATTGCCTAGCCAAAAAGAAAAGAAAAGAAAAGAAAAGAAAGGAACAATTAGGCTTCATATTTTTTTTGGCGAGGCAGTTGGGGTTAAGTGACTTGCCCAGGATAACACAGCTAATAAGTGTCAGGTGTTTGGTCTGAGGCCAGATTTGAACTCAGGTCCTTCTGACTCCAGGGTCAGTGCTCTTTCTATTGTGCCACCTAGCTGCTCCCAACAATTAGGCTTTTACAAGCATAAACCATATCTTAGTATTGACTGAAAGGCATGGAGAATATAAAATTTCACTGTGCTTCTGTTTTTTGACTATTAAAAAAAAAGGATTTGATTTAGTCAAAGAAAATGTTGCCTTACAGGCTTCTCTAACAAAATATTTCCCTGCATATATTGAAATTATATGATTCCTACAAAGATATGAGATAACCTTTTCTTACAATCCTGTGGCCTTTAATTTTAGGTGAGATATATGCACACCTAGGACATTTAGCTTTGTCATTCAGGAGCTTTAGCACAGAGTTCAAGTGAGAATGGGATTCCTTATGGAAAAGGAAGTTCCCTAAATCTTCCTAATTGTGGCTGCCATTGTAGTGAATTCATTTAGCCCTGAACACTGCAGAGCCTCCCTTTAAAAATATTTTATTTCTATTATTATGACCTTGATAAACATCAACAAAAATGAACATTTTCTATAGAAAGAATAGAAAATGAAGATTCCTTATAAAACCTCCAATACATAGTTTGTCTTTTTTATCATTTAAAGTTAACATGGTAGGGTTTTTTTTGTTTGTTTGTTTGTTTTTAGGCAATTGGGGTTAAGTGACTTGCCCAGAGTCACACAGCTAGTAAGTGCCAAGTGTTTGGTCTGAGGCTTTGAACTCAGGTCCTCCTGACTTCAGGGCCGGTGCTGTATCCACTGCGCCACCTAGCTGCCCCACCATGGTAGTTCTAACACTGTCCTGTTTTTCTGTGTCCCTTTCTTATTTCTTTTCTATTTTAAAAAAGAATTTGTTGACATGTTTTTCTTAATTCTTTCTTTGTTACTTTCTTTTGTTGTTCCTTTGTTCCTTTCTTTCTTGCTTTCTTCCTTCTTTTCTTTCTTTCCTTCCTTCCTTCCTTTCTTTTTTTCCTTCTTTCTTTCCTGTCAGTACCACCCCTTCTCCTCCCCAAAACAAAAATCCTGTATTGTAACAAATTAGTTACCCAAAACAAAGCCATACATTGGCTCCTTCTGAAAATGCATGTCTCATTCTGCACCTGTCAGTCATCACATCTCTGCCAAGTCTTTATCAGTGCTCTTTGCATTGATGTTAGTTATTTAATCTTTCAAGTTGTTTTTCTTTACAATGCTGCAGTCACTGTTTAATTAGATCTCCTACTTCTGTTCATTTGGCTCTCTTTCAGTTTATACCAGTCCTCTCAGGTTTCTTTAAGTCTTTCCCTTTGCTCATGTCTTATGGCAAAATAATCAATTAAGAAACATTTATTAAGCACCTACTGTGTTCCAGGCATATGTGCCATGGACAGCTAGGTGGCAAAGTGGATAGAGTGCCAAGCCTGTATTCAGGAAGACCTGAGTTCAAATGCAGCCTCAGATACTTATCAGCTGTATGGTCCTGGGCAAGTTACTTAACCCTGTTTGCCTCAGTTTCCTCATCAGTAAAATGAGTTGGAGAAGGAAATGGTGAACCACTCTAGTGTCTTGGCCGAGGTGTCTTTGTCAAGACATCACCCTCATGAAGTCATTGGTCCTCTTTGAGAATGAAGGAAAAACAGCAACAACTACTTCCCTTTTTAGAACTTTGTTTCTTTTTCCAATTCAATAAATATTAATCCAGCACCTACTGTGTGCAAGGCACCCAATAATAAATTTGTCACAAAGGTAATAATAATACATGATGATTATTGAATTATCTTTTCTAAATGTTTGTCACTGATCTCTTTAATTATAGTTTCAGTGTCTTTCCTGGGAACAAAATCCCACCAACTGACCTAACTAGTTTGCAGTCTGTGTTCTCTTCCTTTTTATTTTTTAAATCCAGACTTTTGTCCATCTCCAGTCTTGTGATGCGTCTCCCACTTTCCATAAAGGTCTTTCAGATAGCATTGATAGAGGCTCAACATTCACATCGGCCAGTACTTTCAGATGATCTGGGGCAAGTGACTGAACTTCATCTAGGATAGCTAAGTGCTCACTCACTCTCTCCTTATATATTTTGGGTATCAACTCTGTTAGTCAGTTTTGTCTTGTCCTTTTTAGTGTAGAGATCATTCTCCTCTGCAGAGAGAAATGAAGCAATAAAATAAGATTTGAGCAGTTCTGTCTTCTCTCTACTGTCAGTTATCTCATCCACCCCAAGCAAAGTTATTATCTCTTCTTTTCCCCTTTTTCTCCTAAGGTAGGATTAAAAAAAAAAGATATTTTGTTGAACTGAGATTTCTTTGCCAGCCTCAAAGTCTAAGTTTTAGTATTCCTAACAATTTTTATTATTGTTTGTTTTGAGAGTGTAAGATTCACTATTTTTTAAAAATTTAATTCATTTTAATTTTATTTTGAGTTCCAAATTCTCTCCTTCTTGCCCCACCTCCACTGAGAAGGCAATAAAAATAAAACTCATTACAAATATGTATTGGCATGCAAACAGTTTTCTGCATCAGCTATGTTCCAACAAGGGGGGAAAAAGTGAGAAAAAGAAAAACAGAAGAAAATGTTTCATTTTGCAGTCTGAGTCTATCTGTTCTCTTTCTAGAGGTTGATAACGTATTTCATCATTAGTCCTTTGGAATTGTAATTGGTCATTATGTTGATCAGAGTTACTAAGTTTCACACTCAGTTATCTTTACAATATTGTTTTTACTGTGTACATTGTTCTTCTGGTTCTCCTCACCTCATATTGCATTGGTTCATATAAGTCTTCTCAGGCTTTGCTGAAACCGTCTCCATCATCGTTTCTTACAGCATTGTAGTGTTCCATCACATTCATATACCATAACTTGTTCAGCCATTTGCCAGCTGGTGAGCATCCCTTCAGTTTCCAATTCTTTGCCTTAGTGGTATCACTGGGTCAAAGGATATGTACAATTTAATAGCTTTTGGGGCATAGTTCCAAATTGTTCCCTAGAGTTGTTATTTGTGTTTTAGAGCATTTTTAATATGGCTATTGGTAGCTTTGATTTCTTCTTCCAAAAGTTGCCTATTTGTATACTTTGGTGATTTATTATATGGGGAATGACTCTTATTCTCATAAATTTTACTCAGCTCCCTATATATTTTAGAAAGGAGACCTTTATCAGAGTAAATATACAGATATTTCTTTCCTAGTTTCCTGTTTTCCTTCTAATTTTAGCTGCATTGTTTTTGTTTGTGTAAAAAAATTTATTTAATATCATCAGAATCACCCATTTTACTTCCTGTAAACCTTTGTCTCTTTTTTGGAATGAATTCTTCCCCTCTCCATAGTTCTGACAGTTAATTTCTTCCGTGTACTACTAATTAGCTTATGATATCACACTTTATGTCTAAATCATGTGCCCATTTTGAGCTTATCATGGTATGTACAGTGTGAGAGGTTGGCCTGTGCCTCGTTTCTGCCAGGCTACTTTCCAGTTTTCACAATAGTCTTTGTCAGATATGAAGTACTTGCCCTGCTAGCTGGCATCTTTGGATTTATCAAGCACTAGGTTACTATGCTCATTTGTTTCTCTGTATTGTATACTTAATCTGTTCCATTGATCAACCTCTCTATTTCTTACCAAGTACCAAATAGTTTTGATAATTGTGGCTTTGTAGTATAGTTTGAGCTTTGATACTAGTATTCCTACTTCATTATATTTTTTTCATTGATTCCCATAATATCCTTAACATTTTGTTCCCCTAGATGAATTTTGTCAGGACTTTTTCCATCTTTACTAAGTAATTCTTTAGTAATTTGATTGTTATAGCACTGAATGAGTAAGTTAATTTAGGTAGTAATGTCATTTTTATTGACTGAGCTTACACATTAGCAATTAATATTTCTCTAGTTATTTGGATGTCTTGATTTGTATGAAGTTTTTTATAATTGTATTCATATAGTTCCTGTGGCAAATAGACTCACAAGTTTCTTAAACCATCCACAGTTATTTTAAATGGAATTTCTCTTTCTATTTCTTTCTTCTGGGTTTGTTTGGTTTTTTTTGGTCTAACAGGGTTTTTACAAGGCTGTGCCATCATCCTCCATAAGGCAGTTGCCTTTGTTTCCATCTACTGAACATTTCTTTTTAAAACTTAAGTTTCAGGGGCAGTTAGGTGGCACAGTGAATAGAGCACCGGCCCTGAAGTCAGGAAGACCTGAGTTCAAATCCAGCCTCAGACCAAACACTTGACACTTACTAGCTGTGTGACCCTGGGCAAGTCACTTAACCCCAATTACCTAAAAAAAAAATTAAGTTTGTTGGCCAATTCCCTGTGCATATGCCACAACCTTTTCATTGTAAGGTCCTTGAGGACAGGTACTGTCTTTTGCCACTTTTTGTATAGCTAGTGCTTTTATCACAGTGCCAGGCACATAGTATTCTTATTGAATTCTTTTCAAACAAATCCTGTTTTAGAATCATTTCTGTTTGGGCTATGAGAATGTCATTCTTGAATATCTCCTTGCTCTCGTGAGCTGATATCCTCTGAAGCATTTTACTCCATGGAATCATAACTTTGTTTCCTCTGAACTCTTTAAAATCTGACTTTCCAATTTAGGGTACATACTACATACTGTCCAGATTTCCTCTCCTCTGTCACAAACTCTCATAGGAAGTGCTCACTTCTACCTGGGGTCCCATCATGTCTCCCTCAGCAACCAGTTTTTCCCAGATAGGCAGAATCAGATTCAGAGTAGAAATTCTCCTTCTTGGTTCCTCCACCTTTTGAAAGCAGAAAATTATTCTTAGCTTCTTTGCTTGATAATTGAAGTCCCCCACCACTGATATATCTTGCCTCTATGCCAGACTTGTAATATTTCCCAAGCTCCTCATCTGTCTCTTCTTTCTGTCCAGGTGGTCTCTAGTACTTTCATACTTAAAGGTTTTAAGTGTTTGCATTGGTAAGCCACCTCATAACTTGTATGATATTATGAAAACTGTTCCTCAGAGGTCATTATGATCAGTAACACTAGGCTCAACAAACAGCTTAAGTAATTCCTATTTAGGTATGTTTCCTAAGCCTTGTTGTGTAATGTTGCTAAAATGAAAGACCTTCATTGATTTTTGTGGAATTGCCTGATGGAATAAATCATGCAGCTCTTAGTCATTGTTAGTTACATTTTTTTCCCCCTGACTGTTTGAGAGGAACCAAGTCTTTCATATTTATGTATTACACCTTCTCACATTTCAGAAAAGCAAGAAAGAAGCTTGGTAGCTTGTGGCTTTGTTCACCTGTTTCCTTTACAGTTTTTTTTTCCATCACAAATTTTAAAAATAGTCTAAAACATTGTGTTCCCTAAGAGTATTTAACCTCTTTAGGAATTGTTCCTTTTGTTGGTAAAGCTGTTGAGGATATGATTGCACCCCCTTCTGGGGACTCTTGAAGCAAACCTTTAGTTGTGGTTTTCATTGTTAACACTGATGACTTTCTCTTTTTTTACTTATTTTTTGTTTATGAACATATTTGTTAGGCTTTTTACTTTTTTAAAAAAGTAATTTATCTATTTTTAGTTTCAACATTCACTTCTGTAAGCTTTTGAATTTTAAATTTTCTTCCCCTTCTTCCTCCCCAAGACAGTATGTAATCTGATATAGGCTCTACATCTACATATATGTTCCTATTAAACATATTTTCACATTAGTCATGTTATAAAGAAGAAATAGAACCAATAGGAGGAACCACGAGAAAGAAGGAACAAAACAAATAGAAGGGAAAAAAAGAGCAAATAGTATGCTTTGATCTGCATTCAGACTCCATAGTTCTTTCTCTGGATGCGGATAGCATTTGACATCATGAGTCTTTTGGAGATGGGTAACTTTCTTTTTAATAAAAATGATATATCTGGAAATTGCCATAGCTAATCTGCTTCAACATTGTCCTTTCTAACTGTGGCACTAGCAGTGGGTTCAGAATTCAAAACAATTCCTCTTAGGGTAAAAGATTGAGTAATAGGGCTTTGGGAAGAAGGATAACTATGAGAAATTTTTTTTTTAATTTGCAGGTGTGGAGATTGGAAGAATTTGTGAAATAATAATACTTCATGGTTTAAATAGGATTATGATGAGGATATTGAAAATCCTCTCTGTCCTTTAAACAGGTATTTTCCAGTATCTTTTTAAAAGAGATATTATTTAAATAGGTGATACCTAGGAGGAAAGAAAAGAAAAGGGAAGATAAAATTTTGTTTTTTATCTCATAGGAATGCTTTATACTTAACACTACCTTCCCCCCCAACACCATTCAATATATCCCTTTTTAATGCTTTCTAGATATATAGATATGAAGTATTTTCAGAATTCTCCTAATCAATGTTTTTGTTTCTCAGCGTAGTAGAATGAATGAAGACACTGGTGTTGACTATATAAAACCTTGGCAGCTGTCTGAAGTGATTGATGGTGGAGGTGTTGGAATTGTAGAAGAGAGTCAACATACAAATTTGGCTAAAGGCGATTTTGTGACTTCTTTTAATTGGCCCTGGCAGACTAAAGCTATTTTAGAGGGAAATACCCTTGAAAAGGTAATCTCTAATAAACAGTGCATATATATTTTCTATAATTCTGAGTTCATTTTTCCCTTTGCAGTTGATTCTCTTAATATCAAGAAAGTAATGAAATCATCCAGTTTCTTCTGCCTACTGACTGATTAAATGCATCAAAATCTATACCAACAATTAATTGATTATGTAGTCTTTATTTCTTTTTATTGCCTGAAAATTTATATAAAGAATAAGTTATATAAAAATTAACTGTGTTTTCACTGAAAGTATAGTTAATGACTTTCATCTACTGTCTAAATCACAGGCCAAACAATGATGCTGAAAACTAAAGTCAAGCGACCTTTGTCACTTCATAGTAATAACTAGGGGCTTTTCTGGTAGTATGATTTGAAGGTTTAGGTGGAAATTATCACCTCCTCCTAACTTCCCACTCAACAGTTGGCCTACCTGAGGACTTGAAACTTTTCATCATTAGTTAAAAATAACTTTTAAAATACACCTATGTGTTGTTACTACTAGCCTACAAGCATTAGTGTGGCATATCTCAATTAGAATTTTTTCTAGTACAAGTTGGAGATTTCTAAAGGACTTATTTAGAAGACAGATAAGTTTTGAAAGGAGAAAGGGTCAAGAATTTGCCCTGCTGCTGACTGAAGGAATGTTGCAGCTGAGAGCTAAGCAGCTGGAAGGCAGCACAGGGACAATGAATACTTTGAGGAAAAAAAAAGGTGTTTGAGGGGTAGTAGGGTGCAGAAAGAATAAGGAAGACGTTCTGAAATCATACGACCACAGTTTTGCCTAATGCTGGCCCTGGTGAACGCCACTAACAGTTTGCATTACCTGCCTTACATAAGGGTTATAAAGAAATTGCTTTCCAAACCTTGAAGTGTTACTATACAAATTTCAGGAGTTATTATTATCTCATCATGGTGATTGATCTGCAAATCATATCTTAGTTGGAAGGAATCTTGTAGGTTATCCAGTTCCATTTTACAGATCAGGAAACTGAAACAAAGGAAGATTGAGTTATTTTCCCAAGATCACATAGCTAATTAGTGGGAGAGCTATGTAGAAAAACAGATAAATGAACAAACAAAATTCTTGGGCAGCTAAAGTAGACCTTTTATATTTATGGCATCACACAGCCAATTGTGACCGGCAGAACTAGGTCTTCCTGACTTCTAGTCCCAACTCTTTATCTGCTTTGACATACTGCTTTCAGTCCAATTTTATACTTTAGTTCCCTTAGAGTATAGGTATTTTACCATAATAAAATTATATAGGAATAATTTCCACCAATGTTTCCTGTTTAAACTTTAATAGAAATCCATAGTGTGATATAAAATATGTGCGTATTTTATTTTAGGTAGACCCACAACTTGTAGATGGACACCTTTCTTACTTTCTTGGTGCTATTGGTATGCCAGGATTGACTTCTTTGCTTGGAATTAAAGAAAAAGGTCATATAAGTGTTGGATCCAACCAGACATTGGTTGTCAGTGGAGCTGCAGGTGCTTGTGGATCATTGGCTGGCCAGGTAAACTCTGCTCGTGATTACTTACTTGATTTTTAAAAAGACACATGTGTAACTGAAGTCTCAATGTAAAACTAGACAGGCAGAAGTATAAGATTGAGAAGCACAGGTAATGTTTTGCCTAAATAGTTCTGAAAGAAGGGTTGTGTATACCTAGTTAACTATATTACTGCTGTTATTAAAAATAAATGTACTGTGATTTGGGGATTTGTTTGGGGGTCTAGTTCTCTATGTGAAATTTAGAAGAACACAGAATTAGAGGTAAATGACCGTTTGCTATGATGGATAATATCAGAAAAAACCACCTCTCTGAAATTTCATATTCTAGTGAGTAAATCTGTTAAAACCATAACTTCTCTGAATTTTTAAAATTCCAAATAAGAGATAAATGAATGGGGACAAAAATATAGAATTTAGTACAGACATACTCCGTTTAATGTTACTCTAAATAATGTCATTTTACAATATTATAAATTATATTATAACCAAACAACTCTACAACATTGTGGAACTGTTACACCATAATTTGGTACAAATCAAATAGCTGGTGACGATCTGAACTCATGTTTAGTCCTCCTTGGCTGTAACTTTTAAACATCAGTTGGATTATTGCTGTGTTGTTAGGCATTATTTCTATGGAACTAGCTGCTCCCTGGTTGTTTTACCTGACATATTTTTTTTTAGAAGCAATGAATGGCCTTTAGACTATGCTTTTAAACATTTCCATAGTGTGTGTATGTGTGTGTGTGTGTGTGTGTGTTTGTTGTGTGTGTGTGTATGTTATACAGGTGAAATGTAATAAACATATATTCATAATGAGAAATTACAGAGTGCAATTTTTTCTGAATACTTTTTTGGCATCTCTCAAGCTCAGAAACTTAGGTTCACCTGTAGCATTGTGATGTGTTAATGATCTGATGATTCCTTTTATAAAATCCTATCGAAGACGTCTGCTTGTAAACTCAAAATCACTGTCTGTTCTACTTATGTTCTATTCTGTTCTACTCTCCTGCTTTGTATGATTAGTTTTAAATATCACATCGTATCCTGGCTTGGTTCTTTAAGTCTTTCACTAGCCTTTGGCCAAAAGTTTAAAAATTCTGACCTGACCTGAACTGTAAATGCCAGTACATACGTGTAGTAGCTTACAGCTTTTCCAGATATCTAAGTACTGTTATACAAATATAAAACCATTTAATTTTCAAACTTTTATTATTGTAGATTGGCCGTTTGGAAGGCTGTTCCAGAGTGGTGGGAATTTGTGGAACAGATGAGAAGTGCTCCATCTTGGTCTCAGAACTGGGCTTTGATGCTGCAATTAATTATAAGAAAGGGAATGTGGCAGAAGAACTCCGCAAGGTGTGCCCATCTGGAGTGGACGTTTACTTTGACAATGTTGGTGGTGACATCAGCAATACTGTTATACACCAGGTGATTGATGACTTCCTGCTATAAATGTGAATCGTTAATAATTTTCATTCCTATTGGTTTGCGTGCACACACACACACACACACACACACACACACACACATACACACGCACACACGCACACATGCACACCCGTGCACACGGTTACTCTGAGCCATCAGCCTAAAAACAGTTCTGCCAAGTTCAGTGTTTGCTCTGATAAAACAACCTGATCGTTTTTTATTGTATTCTATAGTGTAATCATGCTCAGTATCTAATTTGTGTCTCTTACTGTGAGTTACAGTGAGAACAATCCTCAAGGAACACTGATTAAGTACCTACTAAGTATCAGGCACTCACTGGGGATACAAAGACAAAAGCAAAAGAAACAGATGTTGCCTTCCCAATAGAGGAGACATTGGATACATTCACAAATATATAAAAAATAAATAGAAGGTAGTTTTGGGAGAGGAAGGGCATTAGTAGCTCCTGGAATCAAGAGAGTGACCCTGGGCAAGTCACTCACTCTGTTTGGCTCACCTATAAAATTTAAAATGTGAAAAGGTTCCTCATCTGTAAAGTGAGCTAGAGAAGGAAATGACAAACCACTCCAGTATCTTTACCAAGAAAACCCCAAATGGGGTCACAAAGAGTTGGACAAGAATGAAAACAACTGAACAACAATGAAAACAACTGAACAACAATGCAAAGTCGTGGAAACAGGACATGGAGCATTGTGTGGAGGCACCACCAGTAGGCCAGTGTGGCTGGACCATTGAGTGTGTAGAGGAGAGTTACCTGGAAGAAGACTGGAAAGGTAGGAAGGGGCCACTTTGTGAAGATCATGAAGTGAAAAACAGAGCAGTTTTTGTCTGATCCTGGAGGTGAGAGGGAACCACTGAAGTTTATTGAGTTTAGGTGTTAGACAGGTACTTCAGGAAAATCACTTTGGCAGCTTTGTGGAGGTTGGAGTGGAGGGGCGAGACACTTGAGGAAGGGAGGCTGCTACAATAATCCAGTCAACAGGTGTCACTGGCCTGAACTAGGGTGGTGGCAGTGTGAAAGAAAGAAATTTCAAAAGACTATAAATGATGAGATCTGCAACTGACTGGATATATGGGATGGGTGAAAGGGAGGAGAGTGTAATTAGAGCAAGGCTAAAGGCCTGGGATAGTCCTGGGGATTGGAGGAATTTGGAGGTCATGATGAACATGAAGAATGGGTTTAAGAAGAGTAAAGCATTGTCACACTCTGCAAATAAATGACCAAAGAGCCACGGAGATTATGCACCAACTCTTAAACCCTGGAAATATAAAAGAGCTCACAGAGGTTATAGACAAAAAGCCTTCTTTATCCCACTGGACGAGGGAAAATAGACACGTATGCCAGGGTCTCCTCTAAGACCAAAGCAGCAAGGCTAAGCCTTTTTACACACAGTTGTTGCTAGACAGAGAACAAAGCAGTGCAGTGTGACCACAGCATTGAGGTGAGTTTGCCTAGTGACAAAAAGTCTATTCATGGCAGGGCTTCATCAGCAGAACTTGGTTCCTTCAGATGCTTCTCTGAGCTCAGGGACCACCTAGAGCTGGTTTAAGCCAGTTCTGTGATTTAGCTGCAACAAAGTTCATCCAGAGGATGAGTGCAAAGGATTATTATTATGTCACACTCAGGGCACAGCTTGTTTTTTGGGCCTTAGCTCTGGAAAATAATGTGTCTCCTAATAGTAATAAAAGAGAGCAGAAAAAAGGAATACTCTTAGGGTGTGGGTCTTGACAGCACACAGACAGATGAAACTATAAGAGATTAGAAAAAAACAGAGAAATGTCGGAGTTACTCATCATGGAAGCAGAATATTTTTGGGTAATGGCAAGATCAAGGGTATTATTCTCAGCTCTGTGTAGCTGAGGTGGAGTGAAGAAATGGCTCATGGGAGTTAAATACATTTAGGGACTGGGCGTTTAGGGTATTTATGGGAATATCAATATGCATGTTGAGTTCCATAATATGAAGCATGAACCTGGATGGAAAAGGAGCCAAGGCACTGAATGCTTTGAGAAAAGAGGAGGAATGTCCTAGGACTTGGTAGACAATAGACACCTCAATCTGAGTGAAAAATATGGATAGTGACTCTTAAATGAGGACAGTTTGCGGAGATGGTAGAGGGAGAGTCTGAAAGCATCAATAGGGGAATCAAGTATTCTACTTCTCCTCCTGGGACCAGTGAGTTGGGGAGTTTGAGAGAAAGTGCAACTCATCCTAGAAAGAATGCAAGTGATGAAGGGTCTTTGAGTATCAGGCCTCAGTGAGTGCCAAAAGATGGAGGCAGCATGAGAGAAACAGACCTAGGAATCAGAGAACTTTGTTAATTATATAGAACAAGAATTCCAGAGGATGGAATAGAAGGGTGAAAGGATATGGAGCTAGATGTTTTATAGATAGTGTTGAACATTTAGCTTTTTGCTAATCAACAAGCATTTACTGTGTGCCTACTGTGTTCCAGGCACCATGCAGAACAGGGGATATAGTGCCAAAAGTGCAACAGTCCTTGCCCTCAAGGAAGGCATTCTGTCAAATGAGATAATCTAATCCTTTCCCATTAATTCTTACAAGTTAATGAATTAAAGTTATTTCTTCATAAGCAGTAAGCTTTTGTTGTCTTTCATGCCTGTCATAAAAAAATATGGAAAATATATTAGGAAGAAAAAAGAATTACATGTAATCATGCCATGTGAAAAGAAAGGCATACATGAGCTAGGTACAATCAAATGATGGCTGATCTTGGGGTGCACTGAAGGTTTCTCAGAAAGAAACAGAATTGTCTTTGCTAGAATCAAAGGATTTTTCCTGTCTCACCATCATCCAGTTTCTACTTACTACTCCCTTGGGAAGCCAGGAGAGTAAACTGAAGTGACTACAGGTGGATAAACATTTTATATTTTATAGAGTTTTAGTATTTCATCACTCGTTATATGTCACTTTACTAGATAATTTAGCATAATTTCAAGTTAAGTGAATATTTTTTCTTTTACTTTTTTTTAAAGGCAGTTGGGGTTAAATGACTTGCTAGTAAGTGTCAAGTGGTTGGTCTGGTGCCAGATTTGAACTCAGGTCCTCCTGACTTCAGGGTCAGTGCTCTATTCACTGTGCCACCTAGCTGCCCCAAGTTAAGTGAATATTTGAAGATGAACTTATGTTTCCTTAGAGTTACAGAATTTAATATTACATTTTTTCCTGGTTAGCAAGTTCCACCTCTCCTCTATATATCCACTCGCTTACCACTTTACATTCATAAATACATGTCATGGATACAGTCTCCCCTCCCCCCTCAAAAAACTTTCTAAGTTACTATTAATGGATAGTCAGGGTTTTTGTTTTCTTTTGGCTTCCAAGGATGTGTTCATTGACACTTATTCTATGAAAACATTCATACTTTTCATAAAGCAGCCCTATATTCAGTAACTATAGAGAAAAATCAATTTCTTGGGGTATAGTAATCAATTTTCTCTGAATAGATGAATCAGAACAGCCATGTTATCCTCTGTGGCCAGATTTCTCAATACAACAAAGATGTGCCTTATCCTCCCCCATTGCTGCCTGAAGTAGAGTCAGTTCTGAAAACAAGAAACATCACAAGGTATTCTTTCTTTTCTTTATTTACTACCATATTAAAACCATATATGCATATACTACATGTGTAAAAATATACCCAGAGCTGTTCCCCCATCCCAATCCAATCAACATTTTATTAAGTGCCTAATATGTGCCAGCCATTGTGCTAAATGCTGGGAATACAATTAATAAAAAGAAAGATTCTTCTTACCTTCGAGGAGTGCACAATCTAATTGGGAAAGACAACATACCAAAGGAGGTATGAAAGGTGTGAGGGGAGGTGCCACGGGGAACACTGTTCCCTGGAGTTGAGAGCAGGCAAAGAAGCAGATGCATAGTGGAGAGAGGAGCTGAGAGCCTACTTTCTGCCCTCTATAAAGGAAGGCATTGGGAAGGCTTTGGTACTTCACCTGCCAGCCCTCCAATCAAAGAGGAGAAGAGGGTGAGGGAGGTCATGACAATCAGGGCTTGATTTAGCATCGTGGTGAAGAGATTCGATGTAATGAGTTTATCCTGGGAAGGGCATCTTATTCTTTGGAGTTGAAACCCAGAAGAGTAGTGCTATGCATTTAAAACCTCATGAAGCCCAGTAAATAGGTTTTGTTATCTCAGATAATAATTTTGACATTGAGTCCCTGATATCTTTTATTTGTGTAACATTTGTCGAAAGCACATCTGACTGAACTCAGTGTGATTAAGCCATGATATTTGTTCCATGAAAAGATTTCAGAGGCTTGTGAAATTACCTGATCGTGCTTTTTTCTTGTTTTGGATTGCTGTTTTATTTTTCTGTAGGGAAAGATTTCTGGTGTTGAATTCTATGGACAAATTTGAGTCTGGAATTCTACAACTAAGTCAGTGGTTTAAAGAAGGAAAATTAAAGGTAGGACTTGATCCTATGTCCTTATCAATTTGTTCCTTTTATCTTATTTCTTAAATGTAGTGAGCCAGAATTTCTGTGTATTTTGAAAAATTAGGTTGTTATCCTGGGTATAGTTAATTCAGATTATATAGCTGGGATAAGGGCCCAGTTGCTCACTACAGTTAATTTAAATAAAAACCACTTTGATGTGAAGATTATATTACTTTGTACTGAGATAGGATTAAAATAAAAATCTCTAGCTCATGGATTCTTAGAGGGTGGTCCATGGATCTCCAGGGATTACCAAAACCGTTTTAGAGCATCCTTGAGGTGAAAATTATTTTCTTAATAATACTAAAAAATTATGTAACTATTAAAGTGCTCCTCCATTACCCAACTATACATCCATTTGAGACTGGATTTTCTTCATATTCTTTAATTAAAACAACACATCACAGCAGATTGAATGTAGAAGCATATATGAGAATCAAGCTGTTTTCTCCTAAGACGTACATTAAAGAGACTGGTAAAAATATATAAGTCAATGCTTTTAAGTTTTTTTCTTTGTGAAAATAGTTATTTTTCATAAAAAGATCATGTAAATATGTAACAGATATGTTGTTATTTTTGAATGAATCAATATTTTTAATATCCATTTTATTTCTAACTGGAAAACAGTAATAGCTACAGCCCATATAAACAAAAGCTATTTGAAGTCCTCAGCAGTTTTTAAGAGTGTTAAAAAAAAACCTTTCAACTACTTTTAATCGATCTGATCTTATATTGGTAAGTCCCTATTGCCTTTAGGATAAAATACAAACTTCTCTGGCTGGCATCTAAATCCTTCCGTAATTTGGTTCCCACCTATCTTTACCAACTTAATTCATCTTCATATTCAGGCAATATACATTCCATCATTAGTCCTGTGGAATCATAGTTCATCATTGTTACCCTGATCAGCGATTCTAAGTCTTTGAAAGTTGTTCGTCTTTACAATATTAATAGCATTGTATGAAAGAGTCTGTTTATGCTGTCTCACTCTGCATCGGTTCATACAAGTCTCTCTAGGTTTTTCTGAAACTATACTCTTCATTGTTTCTTACAGTGGTAAGATCACCATTTATATAGCACAACTTCTTCAGTAATTTCCCCAGTAGATAGACACCCTCTCAGATTCTAATTCTTTGCCACTGCAAAAAGACCTATAAATATATTTGCATGGATTTATAGTTTGTTACTATACTAGTGCTATATATTACTATATTAGCACTATAACAGTACTAATTTCTTCCTCAATCTATATATATAATCTGCATATATTATATGTACAATATATATAACTACTATATTAGTACTAATTTCTTCCTTAATCTATCTTCCCTCTTTTTCCTCTTCTTCTCTTTCCTTCATGATTACTGTTTAGTGAAATTCTCTGAAAAAAATTTATCCTTTTTTTTAAAGCTCTAAATTAGTTTTTTTCAGGAATTCTAATTGAATTTGTGCCCAAGCTATGGTTTTTCTTTGAACCTCTGCTTATAGACATTTTGGAATCATTCTTTTCTTCTGGATTTATGCCTTAAGCATCCCTGTTGTCATAATAGCTTTTTGTGGTGGGATTCTTTCTTTGTTTGCTCCTTCTTCCAGCCTGCTTCCTGACTTTAGAATTGATATTAGGGCTAAGCTTTGTCTACTTCTGTAGGAAAAGTCTGGGCCAGTCCTGTTCCTACTTTCTTGGGGTTCTTGAGGACTGAGGTATTCTAGAATCTCAGGGACAGCTCAGGTTGGGGACCTGCAAGTTTTCAGTGTTCCCTGGGTGATCATCACGATCCAGGGCGAAGTCTGATCACTCCCTCCCTGGTCTAAGCTCTGCATGTTCCTGACCTGGATGTGGGCCTGAGCAACATACAAGTAGCCTTTCAGTAGAATAGTCCTCGACTCTCTGCACTGGAATGTTCTAGGTAGTGCGCTTTTCACCAGATCCCCACCATCTATAGATCTCTGTCTGACCTGGACCCGAAGAATGACTCACTTTACTTTTTTTTCCCTTGAATTTCCCAATCAGGATTCATTCTGGTACATTTTCTTTTTCTTTTGTTTTTAAAAAATTTTGCTTTTAGTTCCAAATTTTCTTCCTGCTCCGTCTGCCCGTTGAGGAAGAAAGAAATACAATGCAGTACAAACATGTATAGTGAAGCCTGGTGCATTTTCTATCTGTCTTTGGGGGAGTTGGAGGAGGGTTCTTGGGGAGCTCACTGTACTTCCTGCTACTCCACCATCTTGACTCCCCCTCTGGTAATGACCTTGCTGTACTGATAGCCCTGATATTTGGTATGGATTGGTGACTGTGCTGGAAGTGTTCATGTCTGCGCTTTGGCCCTCATGTTTCTATCACCCACTTTGAGACTTGGTCCTTCTGAAGTAGAGAGGCAAAGGCTGGGATTTCTGTTCTTTTTTTCTCCTCCATATTTTGTCACCTTGGTGTACTGCATTCCTTCAGTTGGCAATGGAAATGGAGAGGAAGAAGTGAATACCAGAAATATTTCAAAGAAAACATTTTTCATGGCAGGATTTCTTTTTTTTAAAAATTCTTTTGTTTTAATATCAAATCATGTCTGAATATGCCCTTTACCACTCTCCTACCCAATGAGCCATGCCTTGTAACAAAGAATAATAGCTGGAAAAAAGAGAAAAGCAGTTCAATATAACCACTGAAGACCCAGGGAATCTGGTGGTGAATACAATATTACACTCTCACGGTGTCTCTGTATAATTAAAGGGGGCAGGTACATCAAAGAAAGTATTGTAGATAAAAAAGATTTCTTAATGATCATTTAACCCAGTAGTTTACTTCCAGTAAAGTATAGTGGGGAAAGAAGGTCAGAAATTAGAAGGAACCTGTTAAGAATAAATCACTTAATTTCTTAGACATTTGGGAAAAAATGGCTGATTCAAAATGTGTGCACACTCCTACTTTTAAAAATTCTCACTTAATGTTAAAATCCTAAATTATATAATAGAAAACAAATATGTAATTATTCTTACAAAAAGTTACCCTTATAGGGCAGCTGAGTTCAGATTTGACCTCAGACACTTACTAGGTGTGTGGTCCTGTGCAAGTCACTTCACCTTGTTTGCCTCAGTTTCCTTGTTTGTAAAATGAACTAGAGAAGGAAATGGCAAATCTCTTCGGTATTTTTGCCAAGGAAACCCTAAATGCAGTCACAGTCAGATACTACTGAAAATGACTGAACAACAACAAAGATGATGTTTTGTTTCCAGCTGCTTTGATTTGGTAGAAATTTCTTGAATCGTATTTGTTTATTTAACAGAGACGCTTCTGGGTAGAGTATGAGGGGGGAAAGAAATAAAACCATAATATTAGTTGATGGGGAAAAGCAGATTTCTTATTCATAAAAATATGATTTACATGCTTTTATAGACCATACATTGCATATTAGAAGTATACTAAGTGCGAAATAGTTTGCCTTCGCAAAGTAAGAAAGAAAATTAATTCCAGTTATTTTGATTTGTAGATCAGAGAGACGGTGATCAATGGCTTGGAAAACATGGGAGGTAAGATGATCAGAAATTCTTTAATAATTCAAGTGTGAGTTCTTGCTCTGAAATAGTACTTCTGCAGGCATTTCTCTCTTTCTCTGTGTTGTAGGTCATGTGTTTCTTTTCTGGGAAATGTTACATTAATTTGAATGGAATATGAACTTATCCAACCTTTACCAAAGATTCAACTTAATGATATTTAAGAGAAACATCTTTCTTTAGTGTGTCTCATTTTATGAGGCTCTTTCTTGAGTTCGTCAAATAGTATGTGCATAACTTACACATTTTACAGAATTACTTTTCACAGTTTATGTATTCCACAAATTGGGGAAAATTTTTAATATTTAGTTTTCATGAAAATAGACTTTTTTTGTCTCCACATGCATAGTTTTCAAAATTCTCTTGGGCCTTTCTTTTGTGTGTCCACATATAGTTAGCCAATAGAATTTTATTTTAGAGTTGTGTTACTTACAAATATTTTATTTTCCATTAGAAAAAATGAATTATATTTGCCTTGGGTGAAATCCATCTTGTCAGTATTGTAAAAACAACTCCTCTTCTGAAAACCATATTTACACAAAAGCCCCAAGTCTTTTAAGTTAACAGGTGTTAGTTTCATTTATCCATCTTGTATAAACATTGCTATTTATATTCTTTATAAGAGATTACTTCAAAACTTCTTTCACTGATTTTCTTTCCTGAGCTGACAGTGAATGCCTATAGTTGGTAAGAGATGGACATTTTTAGTTCAGGTACTGATGTTTAAGTTTACCTTGATTTGGACTAATCTTTGTGCTTCAGAGCTGCTGTGATCATTTAGCCTGCACCACGTGGCCCTAGGCAGGGGCCAAAATTAAAATAGGCTGATCTGCTTCAGGCCACAGATAGGTTTTTAGTGGCTCACTTTCCAAGTAAAGGCATAATTAATGATTAAACTATTTTGCCAATAAGCCACATTTTGAAAAAGGAAAATATCAATTAATTACACTTATTACTTAAGATTTTTATTGATCATGAAATTGCTTCTCTCAGACTAGAGACAGGCTGACAGTGGTTGTTTGCCTCAGTCACATGACAAACAGGAGAGAGGGGCTGTGGCAACCCACCTGCCACCTTATATGATAGGCACAATAGTGACTAGTGAAAGGCAGATTAAGCAGGGCACAGACAAAGCTCTTCTTACATTTTTACTTTCTTTTATATCATCTACATTTTTCTCAGGCTATCTGAGATTCTTTGGCAGTCTGCAAGCAGACCACGGGCCACATGTTGTACAGGCCTGATTTAAAACATCATTCAGAATTATAGAGCTCCATTTTGATCTATGGATATATAATGTTATTTTGAGCTATTGCAACTATTATTTATAAAACTGGTGATATTATGTAACTGACACTAATTCTTCACGATAATTTTTTTTTCAGTTGCCTTCCAATCTATGATGACAGGAGGTAATATTGGGAAGCAAATCATTCATATTTCTGAATAAAAATCTCTGTCCTTTCATTGGATTACACATGGTCAAGAACATCAAGCAGATTTCTTTTCAGTTTTAACAAGATTTCAAAGTCTGTTAATAGATTTATAAGATTAATTAAACTAACTTTTTATTTTGTCTCACTTTATTTCATATTTGCAGCTTTGGTGATAGCTTTAATGATAATTATTTCTTCCAACTTAATGTATCCTATGTATAACTAATTATAGTGTAACAAAAGGTCACCATTTTTCATTTTCTTCTAAGAGCTAGCATTATCTATGATGTTTGTATTAGATATTTTGAATCCACAAAAGATTTTAGTACTGTTTTTTAATATTCAGAATAAAACAATAGTTGAGAACTTACTTTGTGCTAGAACCTTTTGGACATCCTTCTCAGGTAGCTTTTTTTTAGTGCCAATTATTGACTTTTGGAATCTGGTGGGAACAAAGTTCTTGCTACTTTATAACAATATTAAGACTTCCTGAGAAAGTCAACCTTGACAGTATTCAGTTTGTTCAGATGTGTTTTGTCTTAAAGAAGATTAAACTCATTTCTAAGTACTTTAAGATATAAAGATCTGATTAGAGCATAAAGACACTTTCTTTTTGAACCTTATGATGTTTTGTAACATTGTATCTCACTAAGTGTACTTTACTGGGCCATTAAGAAATTCTGGGAGCCGCATTTTGATTATATTGTCATTAAAAAGGGGGGAAAAATTATGACAATGCAGGTAGCCTTTTAATTTGTAGAAAATGTTAAACTGCATTGAAACATAAGATGAAATGAATGGGAAAGTGATTTGTGAATTAATTTTAGACTCAGACTTATGACCCTGATTCCTCTGCTATATCTTTTTACAAATCATCTTGAGCTGAAGGGTTTTTGAAGTCTTTAAAATTAGGAAAAGTACAGGAATTATAGATACTTATTCTTTGGTTACTTTTGGGAACAGGACACAGAATTGCATCTGGGAACAGTGGAGCTTATATTTTTTTAATCTATGCTAAACTTAAGCTAAGGCTTTGTGGTTTGGCTACAGTTCACTCAAGAACTCTTTAGTGCCTTTAAAAACAAATGAAATGACAAGTATTAAGAATAAAGGGAAAACAGAAATATTTATGGTTTTTTTTCATCTTTCCACCATAATTTGAAAGGAACTAAAAGGGCTTTTGGAAGGGGGACAGAATCTTCGTAGGAATGTCTGTAAAATATAGTAAAGTGGTATACACAAGTCTTTATGTAACACACAAATCTGTCTCTAATGCATTTAAAATTTTTAAAAATTGAAAATAGCTCATTAGAATGATTACAGATGCACCACTGTGGCACTGGTTCTCTCATTCTCTCTAGGCTCTCTCCCTAGGCTGGCGCTGGCTCACTCATCCTATTCGTACCCACTCCAGCAGGTTGGGGTGGTCCCTCAAAGGGTAGGTCATACTGTTACTGCTCATCTTTAGGGTCCTAACAATAGCCTTGCTGATGGGGAGGAGATACACTCCTACAACTTGCTTTACTTCTCATTTATGCAAAGTATTCAAAATGACACAGTGGACTCTTAAACAGCAAATATTTACTAATCAAGAAGGCAAAGCACAAAAAATCATAAAGTAACATTTTCAAGAGAAGGAAAAAGCATGAATACTCAAAATATAACAGTATACCTATAAAACTGGGACACATTCTTCCACCAATACATATAATGCCCATGGGGGAAAGTGGGCACACAAAGAAACCTAGCAGTGAAGCACTGGAAGGGAACTCACAACTCTGGACTGCAGACCTTACACAAGTCTGTATTTCACCTGCTATGCAGGCCTACTCCTCTTCTGGGCCTCTCTACTCCTGCTGGATGAAGCCACTACTCTGCTACTCTTAGGCAACAAAAGCAGCATTAAGGTTTTTTACTAAACAGGTGCATTACACTCTTTCAGTGAAATGGCAGCCCTAAGTCTACAGTCTTCAGCTTTCCAGATTTGCTCCCTTATGCTGCTCTCTGGGCTCTGTGGTGAAGAGCAATTCAGACAAAGCCAGCCAGCTCTTCATACAGCAGGATTCTGCCTTTTCCAGTCAGATCCCAGCAGTATCTTCAGATGCTGTTTGTCTGATGCCATCCAGAAGCTGCTGTTTTTGTTTTCTCATTCTCCTCTGCTGCTTTCATGCATCAGTAGGCAGTCTGTGCCCTGATTCTGTTTGTCTTTCTATTAGCATCTTATCTCTTCATATGAATATTGTCTTCTCATTCTTATTTCTCTCTCTCCTGCCTTCTCCACCCTATGCCTCCCAAATCAATATTCCCTAGGGAGCAGTGACTCATCTCTAATTTGTGTTGAGAAACCTAAGACCCACATTGCTATCAAGTATTCTGCAAGCAATTATGACACAATAATTCTGAAATAATTTAATAGACTGCATGGTGAATATTTAATAAACCCCTATCCTAAGCACATCATTTTACAATGCAGTAGAAGTTTGTTAAAATAGCACTCTTACTCAAACAGCTTATTCATGAATAAGAGGGACTAAACAATATAACTCTTAAAACCTCAAAAGAGGTTTTAAGAGGGAGAGGTGAGGAGGAACAGAATTCCAGGCTTGGGAGACAACTAGAGAACATGCCCAGAATCTCCTGGTGGGATGTGTGATTCCAGGAACAGCAGAAAGGCCAGTGTCACTGGATCTTAGAGTATGTGGGAGTAAGGTACAAGAAGGCTAGAAAAGTAGGAAAGGGATAAATTATATGAAAGATTTTAAAAGTCAAACAGAGGATCTTATAGTTGATCCTGGAGGTCCTAGGGAGCCACTGGAGTTCACCGAGTGGTTGGAGTGAAGGTGACATGATGAGAACAGCACTGTAGAAAGATCAACTTAAGAGCTGAGTGGAGGATGGATGGGCTGGAGTGGAGAGAGGCAAAGAGATCAGCTAAAAACCTATTACAACAGTCCAGGCACGAGGTTGTGAGGGCTCGCATCAGGGCTGTGGTTGTTGTGGTTTGTCCTTCATTCTAGAAGAGGACCATGACATCAGGAAGGTGATGCCCTGACTTGCAAGTGAATTGGATTTAAGTGAGGGAGGGCTGTGCAAAGTCACCAGCCAGTGGCCAGATATAGATCAGCATGACTGGAGATGGTCCCCAGGGTTGTGGTAGTGTCAGAGGGGCACAATGAATGGCGAGAGCACAAAGTATTTGCTGAAAAGCATAGTAGGAACAGTGACAACAAAATATTTCCACAAACCTTGGGCATCCTGTCCCCTGAATACACTTGGTGTCAGAGGAAGAGAGGATACAATAGGGAACTCATGTGGCTAAGGCGTATGGCAGCCACTTATGCCTCCAATGCTTTAGGGCTACTGGAGGACTGATGTCCGCCAATCTCAGTCATAGTCTCTGCCAGTCTCCACTGGACTCTGCTAGATGTTGCGTGGCTGTAGTCACCCCTGCCCTTGGTTTGGGGCTCAGCTGACATCTCAGCCTAGTATATTGCTATGCACTTTTGCAAAGAACTGGAACCCAAGGGGAGTCTTGGGAATTGCCATCTCCTGACCAGGATATCTAGGGGCCAAACTCTACTCACACTAGCATGACTTGATTTTGCCACTGGTCTCTTCTCACAGGCTATATACATAATGTATATCTCCTATGTCTATTTGCTTCTAAAATAAGCCATTGCTGTTGGGGAGACTCAAATATGAAAACAATTGACCAAAGAGTCACATAGGTTGTACAACTGCTGTTAATTCTGAAACTACCAAAGAGCTTACACAGGTTATCACAGCCATAGTTAATTCTGAAAAACATAGACAATGAGAGGTAACAACAATAATGCGATAAGTGTGATGCATAGCAGGGCTTCATGACAGGAACATGTGTCCTGCAGGTATTTATCCAAGTTCACAGACCACTTGGGGCTGGTCTGAAACAGTTGTGGGATTTTGCTGTGGCAGAGTTTATCCAGAGGGTGAGCACAAAGGATTGTTGTTATGCCAAGCTCAGGGCACAGCTTGCTTGCTCTGCAAAACAGGTTGTCTCCAAATTGTGAAAAGAGAGGAGTAAAAAGAGAGGGGTGGTCTTGGCACCTGACAAGGGGAGAAGTGAAAGGAGATACTGCCAAACCACTTTCCATCCCCTTGCTGTACTCTCCAAGAATCACAAAGGAAAAGGTGTAAGATGAAGAGCAAGTTATTCCATAGCAGGCTTTCATGTACACTGATCCTGAAGCCTGATTGCTGGCAGATTCAACTCCTCAGGCCTTGCTGTTTACTAAGTGGGTGGAGAAAAGGATACTGGCATATCCATTTTCTTTGTCAGTCCTTAGAGTTTCCTAGCTCTCTCCTAAGCAAATATATTGTTAAAATGTGACTAGACCATTCAGGATGTGAAAAGGACTAAGTCTTATAACTACCACTCCAAATCTCAAATGTAACCTTTACATCTTACTGTCTGTTACCTGCCCCTTACATCCTATAATTTCATTAATCAACCCAGGACACTTGATTGAATTGACTGGGTGCTACAAGTGTAAATTAATACAATAAGAAGCAGCAGAGCCAAGATTAATTGTAAAGCACAATTTTGGTCCCTGAGAAGAGACAATGAAACACATTCCTCTCCCCACCTTTTGCCTTGACAGTATGCTGTCAGAATTGACCTTTTGGTTGCTACATGTTGCTTTGCTATTTTTCTTTGTTACAATAAATTATCAGCTAGAACTTTCCCTACGGTTTTGGGGATAGGGATGGCAGGGTTTGGGTGGAGGAAGAGTTAAGTGGGTTTTACGGAGAGAGATGAAGATATGTTAAGATTTGTTTTTATTATGTTAGGTTGAGTTCTGCAAAAATGAATGGGGCACAGTTTGACATCTTTAAAACCTTGACTCAATTCAAGAACAATGTGATGCTCAAGGGCAGCATGGTAAAGTGGGAAAAGTCCTGAATTTGGGGTTTGATAACCATAGTTCATAGTATCATAAATTCAGAGTTGAGAGGTTAAGTGACTTTTTCAAGAAGACACAGATAGCAAGTGGCACAGACACTCATCAAACCCCGGTTCCATAGCGCTATTTGCCACTGTACTTGTGATGGTAGTTAAATCTTCTCTGGGTCTCAGTTTCCCTATCTGTAAAATGCAGAGGTTAGATTAGTTAGGCAGACAATCACGATCATGATAACTAACATATGTGTAGCGCTTTAAGGTTTGCAAAACACTATTATCTCATGCTATCTTCCGGAAGAGGTCTAGGACTTTTGGGGTGCTGCTGGAACCCCAAGATCGCGGTACCGGACCCTGTCTGAAAGAATTCAACTCAAATCTTCTTCAGCCAGAGGAAAAGTTTATTAGTGATAAATCACAGAGGCCAGGTGACGCCCATAAGGACAGGGGGGCATGAGAAAGGCTCAGCCTTTGGGGCACTGAGAGATTCTCAGCGGGGTGATGCCCATAAAGATGAGTGTGCATGAGAGGTTCTCAGCCTTTTAAGCGTGAGATTCTCAACCCCGAATGAGAGCCAGGGTAGATCTTATATACTTTGGGTGACCAGGGAAGGGTCTGGGAAAATGGTCTGGGAAAGGGGTCTGGGGAAAGGGTCTGGGTGAGAATTCCCAGAGATTGGAATGTCTAAGAGATTGAACAGACAATGGGAATAGATAGTGAAGGAACTGAAAGGTTTCTGAATGAGATTAAAAGGTAGATAGGCTAAGGCTTTCAAAGGCAGATGAGGGGCTGGGGCCCGTAGACAAGGGGAACCAGATTCCCTTTGGGGCAAGGGATGAAGACCTGGGCTTGGGCCATACCCCATCATTCCCATCCCTGGGAAGTAGGAGCTATTATCGCCATTTTACAGATAAGAAAAGTGAGGCAGAGATATATAGATAGATGATTTATTAAATGTGTTTACTATATTCCAGGCACTGTGCTAAGTGATGGAAATACAAAAACAAGTAAATAAGACAGTCCCTACCTCAAGTAGTTTATATTCTATAATTTCTTCCAGGTCTAAATCACAGGAACTGAATAGGAGAACCTGTGGAAGAAGAAGGCATTTACATATTCTCTCCACTAGGGCTTCTTTATTTAGAATCTGCTAACCTGTTTTGTTTTTGGTTTTATGCTAGGCATCGGGGTTAAGTAACATAGCTAATAAGTGTCAAGTGTCTGAGGCCAGGGCCAGTGCTCTATTCACTATACCACCTAGCTGCCCCCCCAACCCAAAATATTTTGATATTTTTATCAAACTGTATTAGTTATATTTTGATATAATAGGTTTCTTTTGTAACCCTATGTATTTTATTTTATGAATTTTACCACATCATTCTGAGAAAGGTTGCCGAAGGTGTCTGTGACACACAAAAAGATTAAGCACCTCTGTCCCTGACTCTTTAACATCTAAAGACCAAACAATAATTAAAGAAAAAACGCTGGGGCAACTAGGTGGCTTAGTGGATAGAGCTCCGGCCTTGGATTCAGAAGGACCTGAGATCAAATCATGCCTCAGACACATAACACTCTAGCTGTGTGACCCTGGGCAAGTCACTTAGCCCCACTGGCCCATAAAAAAAAAGATATAAAAAAGATATTAAAAAAAACACTTTAGTGTTTGCAAAGTTCTTTTCAAATATTATCCCATTTGATTCTCACAAAAAAACCCTGGGAGGTAAGTGCTAAAGACAGTATACAGGCCCTGGGAACACCGCCCCCCCCCAACTTTCCTTGAACTTTCTCACTAGGCCCAGTCTCCAATGTTTGCCTGGGGCAATCGGCCCTTCCCAATTAAGCAACTGGCCTTTCATTGTGAACCCACACACAAACCACCAATTCTCCATTACTCTGAACCTAGTCCAATCCTTCCTTGTCCGATGGCCCCAGGTCACTTCCCACCCTTTATTCCTTCTAGACCCCTTCCAAGTGGCCCAGGTCCCTGGGGTTTGCCTGGGGCACCCAACCCTTCCAGGGTATGCCACTCATACCCACAGGGCAACTCTCATCTCCCACCACCTTTGCAAAAGCCCCCATCTCCAAGTGACTTCATCATAGGTTTATGCCACCCCATTTATGCTAGCCACTCCTGGAAGGGCTACTCTCTCCATCTCCACACCCTGCTTTTCTGCAGGGGAATATTCCTTTATTTGGGAGACAAGCTCCACAGCCACTGGACAAGTTAATACCCCTGTTGAGGGAGGGCTTATAAGAATTTCTGCTGATTTTTTGACCTGCACTACCTGTACAGACACTGTTGTACCGAGAAATCAGCCAGCAAGACCCAGACATAATTTAAAATGTGGATTTATTAGCATGTGGCTGCAAGGGGTATACATACCAAATCAAGCAGCCCCAATCAGGGGTCGAGCTAGGGTTTATATGGAAAAGAGCAAGGGAAAGAAATGCCAGGAACACTGATGAGGTAATCCAAAGATGCAGGTGTCTTTGGGGGGGTATGGATGGGAAAGTACAGGGAGTATACCGGACAAGGAAGGAGATGACAGAGGTATGGATCTTTGGAGTCTGGCAGGAGGAAGAGTCCTTGGGCTGGCTAAGAACACCTCTCTCCCTCTGTCTTGATGAGAGAATGCTTTGCAACAAGGGAAAGCTTTCTCACAAGACAGGAACTTGCTAAGGAACTGGGAGGCTTCCAGAGACATGATCTGAAGGCTGGGGCCTGAGCAGCCCAGCTCTGTGTAGCTGTACCAGGGAGAGAGATAAGGGTCATGCTGAGGCCCATGCATGAATAACTGCTAGGCACAGTGTTCTTGGTCTGGGGAGTGGTTGTCAGAGACAGTGTTTCTGAGACTAGGGAGAAATTGGGGCACATGCACAAGCACCCAAGCACCCCATCATTACAGGTCAGAGATCACACAAACCAAACCAGGTGTCCTGGTCTCTGGTATAAACATAATTATCTAAAGCAATTATAATGCAAGCGTTCTTATCCATCTGCGTTGGAGGTATGGGCTGTGCTGAGCTATGCTGAGCTATGCAAAAGTACATTTCACTGTTGTTTAGATTTAGCAGGAAAGAGGTCTGGGGCAAGATTAAGCAGTAATTTCTGCTTTCCATGGCTTAAAGGGCCCTACTACCTAAATGGTAAAATAATCTTCTGCATTACAATATGACTAGTGACAATCATCCAGCTGTACCAATGGTACTGAGGGAGCATTTCCTACTTGCATCTATGACCCCATTCTTCCCCCTACTTTTCTAGTAGGTTCCCCCTTTTTAAGCTTTACGTCTAAGTTAAGTCATAATGCCACAGCCCTTTCTAGTTACAGCACTCCTATTGATCTTTTAAAGACACCCCTCTCAATTGGGAGTTTAATGTGCAACCATTCTGATCTTTGGGGCATCCATACTTGGAGCCTCTCACACATTCATCCCATCTGTGCCCCCAAAGGCGATACCTTCCTTTGTGGGTGTAATCGAAATGATTAAGTGCTGTGCAGATTCGATTTAGGTTCGGATCTCAAGATATAATGACAGGATAAACTTGACAATCACATGTATTTACAATGATTAATAATGATTAAAAACCACACAAGCAATAAAGATAAGAATAACATTCAATGCAATAAGTAATAATCAACATAAAGGAAAGTAGGAATAAGAAAAGAAAGGATACATACTCACTGACCAGGTAAGCTCAAATACCTAATAGACTGGGGAGACTGGAGAATGGCCAAATGTTCAGGGAGGCCAGCGGGGAGCCAGAACACAACGAAGGCCATGCACTCGGTCAGCCTCTGGCAGAGAATAGGGGTCCCTATCTCTGCAACCAAAGTCTCCAAAATTGCCCTTTCCAATGACCCTTTTTATATGTATGTAAACCGGGGAAAAACAATCTTGATATTTTGTTTTGTGTATGTCTCCTTGGTGAGTACTCAGATCCAGGGTACATACACATTCTAACAATGGCTGAAGCTTGATCAGAGCTCCAACTACCTGTTTATTGTGTAATTGTCCAAGGAGTGACCAGTTCCTTGGACAATTATGTGCTTTTCTCAAGAAAAATGTTTTTTGAGATAGACTGTTTTCCCAGGTAACGTTGTTTAGTTGTTACTTAATGTTCCAGTCTCCTTGACCCTGGCCATGCTTTGATAACTCCATTTTATCTTTAAGTCAGGTCATGAGGCAATTACACCATTAGGTCATAAGACGGTTACATAGGGGGCTGGGGAGGATCTATCCTCCTCAGTTGCCCTTACAGTGGGATTGGTGAACTGAGTGGCAAAAATTCTGAGGAAGAGGTGAAACTGAAGTGCTACTGATGGGATGCTTGGATGCTTATACTGGGACCCCAACTCCTAGCCTTAGAAACACTATCCCTGGCAGTTTTCCTCCAGCCCAAGGACACTATGCTTTTTTTTTTTTGGTGAGGCAATTGGGGTAAAATGACTTGCCCAGGGTCACACAGCTATTAAGTGTCAAGTATCTGGTCTGAGACCAAATTTGAACTCAGGACCTCCTGACTTCAGAGCCGATGCTCTATCTACTGTGGCACCCAACTGCCTCTAGGACACTGTACTTTTGCTAATTATTCATCAGTGGGCCCCAGCAAGACACTTATCTCTCCCTGCTGCAGTTACACAAATCTGGATGAGAGAGTAGTGAGCTGCTCAGGGCCCAGCCCTAAGATCATGTCTCTAGAAGCCTCTCAATTTCTTTGTAAGCTCCTGTCCTGTAAGAAAATTTTCTCTTGTTGCAGAATGAATTCTCTCATCAGGACAGAGAAAGGGGTGCCTGGCCCAAAGATTTTTGTTCCTGGCTGACCCAAAGATTCTTCCTCCGGTCAGATCCTGAAGGTCCATGCCTCTGACACCTCCTTCCCTATCTAGTATACTCTCTATATTTTCCCATCCATAGCTCCCAAAGATACCTGAACCTTCAGAATACCTAATCAGTTTCCCTGGCATTCCTTTCCCATGCCCTTTTCCATATAAACCCCAGCACTATCCTCAGTCTCTCACAGGTTCCTTAAGAATCCTTGCCCGTTATAGACCACAACAATAAATCTTTGCCAACTTGATTCAAAGAATGCTTGAGTCTGTGAATCCATTCCAGATGACTCCATCCTGTACTCAGGTCTTTGAGGGATCTCAACCTCTCAGACCCAACACCACCATGTGGCAAGACCCCAAAACTATTATCCTGGTTAGCCAATGATTAACACCTTACAAGGACTTGGGGTATGCACCCTTGGATTTTTAGCACCCACCTCCATTTACGATGCTGCACAGTCTAAGGTCTCTAACTTGAAAGAGCAAAAGGTGAATTCTGGGGAAATGTCGTCTGGTTCCTTAAAAAGGGAGCAGAGTATCTCATGTCCTGGTATGGTCACCTACAACATGAACTCATTCTCTCTAACCTTACAGAGACAAAAAAGTTTGCAAAAAAGACAACTTTTAGTAATGTGGATACAAATGATGCCCTAAGGATTAAAAAGAATATTAAGTGTTTCTTTTCCATGACTTTGTGAAGCCCCTCCTGAGTGACTTGGGTTTGGGTCCTAAAGTCCTTTCCCCCTTATCTTGAAATACCATAAAAGTCCTCCTTATCTTGTAAGCAACAACCTCCCTCATTCTATGTCAAAGTTCTTTTGGTTTTACAAGACCTTATAAGGCCTAGCATATCTCCTTCCTGATCCTTATCTGTTATCTCCCAGTCAGTTACTCCAGCCTACTGGTACTCCCAACCCGATTATAAAAAGAGTTAGTCCAGTCCACTAAAGGGTGGATTCTTAAAATCTCGCCCATCTAGTCTGTTCTAATAAACCTTGTTTCTGGCTGAAAGAAGGCTTGGATCAAATTCGAGGCAGGACCGGCATTGATTTCCCTTGAATTTCGGGTCCCAGCACCCCTAGACCTCAACACTATTACTCTCCCATTTCACAGGTAAGACAATCAGGTTACAGAGGGATGGAGACCCGATCTGAGTCACCCAGTTAATAATAAACTTTAAATGTCATATCTCAATCCCGATCTTCCTGACTCCAGATCCAGGGCTCTTTTGCACTGCACCACCCAGGTGCCCTTGAAAGATTAAGAGTTTAAAGTCTGGCTGCTAGGGCGGCTTCCTGTAGGATAGGACTGGCCCCCTTCCCACTAGGAAAAACATACTCCCGTACTTTGGACCGGATCTGGAGAGGAGAGGGAGGAGCCATGCGCATGTGCAAGCAGGCAGTTTCAGCATCCGCTTAAGACCTCGGAGGGTCCTGCCCCTAAAGCACCTGTGTCCTCCCGGGAAGCCCTTCCTCCAGGTGAGTGCCCGCCTCGGGTTCTGACTAAAGGTGGCCCAGGCCCTGGCGGTAAATTGGGGGAGCGAGGAAACTGAATACCTGTATTTGCACACCCGGAAAATGATGTGGGGAGGCGGTGGGGCTCGAATACTGCCTCCGCCCGCCCTTCCCCCCCCCCCCCCGCCCCTCTGCCTCCCCGTCCTCTGCCACCTAAGGTCTGCCCCAGCTCCCTGATCCGCTCTGTTCCCAGGGCACTTGTTTGCCTTCAGGGGTCTGTATGTGGTGGGACACTTCTAGGAACTGACTGGAACCGGAGCTAGAAGCGACCTTTTAGAGATGGCTGTGGAATCTAACCCTTGCCCTCATTTTACCAAGAAGGAAACTGGGGCTCAGAGGTTAAATAATTTGCCTGCGTCAGAGAGGTGAAATGATTTGCCCAAGACCCCACTGAGATTTGAATTCAGGCCCTAGGAATCCCAAATTCTTCTTTCTTTGCCCTGCACCAGATCAAGTCAACAAACATTTATTAAGCGCTTACCACGTGCCAGGTAACAGTGTTAAGTGCTGGGGATGTGTCCTTGCTCTTAATTAGCTCCCAGTCTTGTCTAGAGAGACAGCATGCAGAACATACAGGTTACATACAGGATAATTTGGGGGTAGGGGCAGAGGAAAGGCGAAGCTGAGACTGGAAGGAAGCCAGGGAAGCCAGGAGGCAGAGATGAAGTCCGAGATGTGCCTGGCTTGGGGGAACAGCCCCAGAAATGCGGTGGGGAGATCGGAGCGTCCTATCAGAGGAACTGCTAGCAGGCGCTCGTCACCGGAGTAGGAAAGGGAGTAGAGTGCAAGAATACTGGAAAGACAGTGAAGGGGAATTCCTCAACCCAGAGCTCCTGAAATCCTCCCAGGGTGTAATTCTGCCTACCTTGAGGCCTTTGATTGGTGGCCCAAACAGGAGGCCAGGCTAGAAGATAAAGTTTAATTAGCATCAGCTGACTATTTGCCAGAAGCCCAACAAAGAGATATACATGTAGGGTTTTATACAGCTTTTTGTGTTTCAGTCGTGTCTGACAATCTGTGACCCCATTTAGGGTTTTCTTAGCAAAAATACTGGAGTGTTTTGCCATTTCCGTTTCCAGCTCATTTTGCAGATGAGGAAACTGAGGCAAACAGGGTGAAGTGACATGCCTAGGGTCACACAGCTTGGAGAAAAACAATATCATCAATTAGGAGTCAACAGTTATGGAACTTCATAATGTCAGGATATTTCATTGTCAGGCAGGAGATTATTTCATGCCAGCCAAGAAACAGGCTTTCTTTTTCAAGCATATATGATTGCCATCTTCACTCTCCACTTCCCCTCCCCACAAGACTGGGCATGCTGGACATGGGTGGATCAGAATCTAGTTGTTTATGAAGCAACAAAAAGTGATTGATTTGTACTTTTCCTTTAAAACTGTTATCTCCTATGTCAACTGGACTGGAAGTGAAAGCAGGCTAGAGACAAGAGAGTCAGGAATCAAACAGAAGTTTAATTTGAAAGTGAGGAAAAGGGCTTCCAAGCAAGGACGTATTATTGCCAGAGGCCGGTCCTAGTGGAGTGGGTCTGAGGCAGTGTGAAGAGATCTTAATACTTTTACCTGTGGCTACTCAGTGAGCTGTAGCCCTGACAGTGAGGGATAACAGCAACGGTGTGACAAGTTTAATTCATATCAGGGCTTCATGATCAGAAACAATTCTGAGATCATCCAGAGGGTGAGCACAAAGTTATGCCAAGCTCAGCACACTGCTTGCTTGCTGGACCTTAGCTCTGGAAAACAAGGTGTCCCCTAATATCTTGACACCTGTATTATATACACATTATTTTATTCCTCTGCCAGTGTGTGATTTTGTTCAAGTGGCAGAGATGGAATAGAATGAAATAAACATCTCTTAAGTGTGTGCTATGTGCCAGGCAATGAGCTAAAAGCTTTACAAGTATTGTCTCATTTGATCCTCCTAACAATCTTGTAAAGTAAGGTGCTTATTATCTACATTTTACAGTTGAGGAAACTGAGGTAGACAGGTTAAGTGACTTGCCCAGGGTCACACAGCTGGTGTTGAACTCAGGTCTTCCTACTCCAGGTCCAATCCTGTATCCACTGTGCTATTCTGTCTATAGCAGAGATCTTTTAGTACCAAATACCCACAATACCTAAGGAATTAAAAACACTTCCTGTATACATATACTGGAAGTATACCAAGTGTTCCAGCATATACATTTTTTTATCAAGCAGGTAATATTGTAAAAATATTAAGTATTATATTTTCTTTTAAAGATAATTAACATGCTTCTTGGGGGGAAAAAAAGGAAGAGAAACTAGTGCAGAAAGCAAATTTGAAATTTCACATCGAAGGGATAATATGGTTGTATTCTTGTCAATGCTACTGTTGCCCTTCTATGATTCAGATAAAATTGGTGTTCAAATATAACTTTTAAATCTTGATATTTGCATTATGTTTTTTTTTAAAGCCTATATTAGCTTTGCCCAACTATATGCCAACAAATTAGACAATCTTATTGAAATGGATACATATTTACAAAAAATATAAATTGCCCAGATTAACCAAAGAGGAAGAAATTGAACAAGCCATTGATGAACTCCCTAGAAAAAATCTCCAGGGCCAGATGGATTTACATGCGAATTCTATCACACATTTAAAGAACAATTAATTCCAATACTATATAGACTATTTGGGAAAATAGGTGAAGAAGGAGTCTTACCAGATTCTTTTTATGATACAAATATGGTGTTGATACCTAAACCAGGAAGAGTCAAAATAGAGAAAGAAAATTATAGACCAATTTCTCTAATGAATATAAATGCAAAAATTTTAAACAAAATACTAGCAAACAGATTGCAGCAACTTATCACAAGAATAATACATTATGACCAGGTAGGATTTATACCAGGAATGCAGGGTTGGTTCAATGTTAGGAAAACTATCAGCATCATTGAGCATATCAACATCAAAACCAACAGAAACCACATGATCATCTCAATAGATGCAGGAAAAGCTTTTGATAAAATACAACACCCATTCCTATTAAAAACACTAGAAGGCATAGGAATAAATGGAATCTTCCTTAAAATAATAAATAGCATATATCTAAAACCTTCAGCAAGCATTATATGTAATGGGGACAGGCTAGAAGCATTTCCAATAAGATCGGGGGTGAAACAAGGATGTCCATTATCACCACTGTTATTCAATATTGTACTGGAAACTTTAGCTTTAGCAATAAGAGGAGAAGAAGAAATTGAAGGCATTAGAATAGGCAAAGAAGAAACAAAGCTATCACTCTTTGCATGATGACTTAGAGAATCCTAGAGAATCAAGTAAAAAACTACTTGAAATAATAAACAACTTTAGCAAAGTTGCAGGCTATAAAATAAACCCACATAAATCATCAGCATTTCTATATATTACCAACAAAGCCCAACAGCAAGAGATAGAAAGAGAAATCCCATTTAAACTTACTGTAGACATTATAAAATATTTAGGAGTCTACCTCCCAAACAAACCCAGGAACTCTATGAACACAATTACAAAACACTTTTCACACAAATAAAATCAGATCTAAATAATTGGAAAAACATCAGTTGCTCATGGGTAGGCCGAGCTAATATAATAAAAATGACAATCCTACCTAAGCTAATTTACTTATTCAGTGCCATACCAATCAAACTACCAAAAATTATTTTATAGAGTTAGAAAAAATAATAACAAGATTCATTTGGAAAAACAAAAGGTCCAGAATATCAAAGGAACTAATGAAAAGAAATGCAGGGGAAGGTGGCCTAGCAATTCCAGATCTTAAATTGTATTATAAAGCAGCAATCATCAAAACTGCTTGGTACTGGCTAAGAAATAGGGAGGTGGATCAGTGGAATAGGTTAAATATGCAAGACACAGTAGTCAATGACTATAGTAATCTATTATTTGATTAACCCAAAGACCCCAGCTTCTGGGATAAGAACCCACTCTTTGAAAAAAACTGCTGGGAAAACTGGAAAAGAGTATGGCAGAAACTAGGCATAGACCCAAATCTCACACCATATACCAAAATAAAGTCAAAATGGGTTCATGACTTAGATATAAAGGCTGATACCATAAGTAAACTGGGAGAACAAGGAATAGTTTACCTATCAGATCTATGGAGAACAGAAGAATTCATGACCAAACAGGAGATAGAGAACATTATGAAAAAAAATGGATTTTGATTACATTAAATTGAAAAGTTTTTGCACAAACAAAGCCAATGCAACTAAGATTAGAAGGAAGGTAGAAAATTGGGAAAGAATTTTTACAACCAGTCTCTCTGATAAAGGCCTCATTTCTAAAACATATAGAGAATTAAGACAAATTTATAAGAACACAAGCCATTCCCCAATTGATAAATGGTCAAAGGATATGAACAGACAGTTCTCAGATGAAGAAATTAAAGCCATCTATAGTCATATGAAAAAATGCTCTAAATCATTATTGATTAGAGAAATGCAAATCAAAACAACTCTGAGGTACCACATCACACCTATCAGATTGGCCAACATGACAAAACAGGAAAATGATAAATGTTGGAGAAGATGTGGGAAAATTGGAACACTAATACATTGTTGGTGGAGTTGTGAAATGATCCAACCATTTTGGAGAACAATTTGGAACTATGCCCAAAGGGCTACAAAAATGTGCATACCCTTTGATCCAGCAATAGCACTTCTAGGGCTATATCCCAAAGAGATCAAACAAATGGGAAAAGGACCCACATGTACAAAAATATTCATAGCAGCTCTTTTTGTGGTGGCAAAGAATTGGAAATTGAGAGGATGCCCATCAATTGGGGAATGGCTGAGCAAGTTGTGGTATATGAATGTAATGGAATACTATTGTGCTATAAGAAATGATGAACAGGCTGACTTCAGAAAAACCTGGAAAGACTTATATGGTCTGATGCTGAGTGAAGTGAGCAGAACCAAGAGGACTTTGTACACAATAACAGCCATGTTATGCGATGACTAAGATTGTTAAACTGAACCCTTCTCAGCATTACAAGGATCTAAGACATCTCCAGAGGCCTCGGGATGGAAAATGCTGTCCACATCCAAAGAAAGAACTATGGAAGTCGAATTGCTATCACTTATTTTTACCTTCAGTTGAGTTTTGTTTCATCTTTCTGATGGTTTCTCCTATCGGTTTTAATTTTTACTTATAACTTCACTAATGTGAAAATATGTTTAATAGGAATGTAAATGTAAAGCCTGTATCAGGTTGTGTGCCATCTTGGAAGGGTGGGGGGGAAGAAGGGGGAGAAAAATTTTCAACTCAAAAGCATATGGAAGTGATTGTTGCTAAATCAATAAATTAATAAAATTGAAAAAAAAAGCCTATATTAGCCCTGTTTGGTAGCAGCTAGGTGGTGCAGTGGATTGAGTGCAAGGCCTGGAGTCAGGAAGACTCATCTAGCTGTGTGACCCTAGGCAAGTCACTTGACACTGCCTTAGTTTCCTCACTTGTAAAATGAGCTGGAGACACAAATGGCAAACCACTCCAGTATCTCTGTCAAGAAAACCCCCAATGGAGTCTCCACTGAAAGGACTGAATAACAATGAGCCCTGTTGGGTAGCTGCTGTAGCTCATTTACTACTGTTGAAAATTAACCAATTAGTCACTCAGAAAAATGCGTAATTTCACTGAGGATTAAAGAGATGTAAATCAAATCCACCTTAAAGTATTAAATCATCTACCTGTAAATTTAAAAAGCCTCTCAATGTTAGTGAGAATATGGTTGAGTTAGGAATGC